CGAGTTTTTGCATTTTTTATGTTCCGCTGTTCTCGCTTCCATATATCTGTTTATGAATTTTACTTGGATATCTACCATTTATAGGCACATTCTAAATAGTTATACCCCATTAGTCGGTGCTATTCAACAATTTCGATTTTCACATACCATTAAGCAAGAACTTGTCTGAAAGTTGAGCTTTATATGTTATTCGGTGCCCTGATCACGACTATGGCATTTACTTTCAGCTCTAGTGCCATTTATCTCCAATTTGGAGCCACGTCTTTCTCCCACTGGAGTCGCTATGTACACTTTGAGGGCCATTCTGACGCCAGATTGGTTGACGTCAAGAATAAGTGTCAGAATCGTGATCAGGACCATCGATTACCCCTATAGGCAAACTTTCGGCCAAAAAATTTTTTGACTTTCTTGAGTTGTGATAGACCATTTGGTCGGCAATGATGACCGGAGTCCCACACCTTCGGAGCGGTGATGACGTAACGATGACGTGGTGGGCCGCCGGGCAGCCGTATCGCGGATTTGGTGCTCATAAGGTCCATTCATACTTGGCATGGGCATGGGTGGCCGCAGAACAAGTGAAAAACCATCCTGGACATTTGTCGACCCCTAGCGACTGCTCGCTCAACGAAGATGTCGTCCTCCCCTACCGACAAAAAAGACTCTCCAAATTTCGCCACTTTTTCAAATGCACCTGGAGGAATGATAACCTCCTTCTTCTTCTTTCTATGAAGTTTATCGTTTTTGTTAGTTTTATGTTTCTGTACCACTGAATGGGAAGGTTTCAGTAAGGAATGACACTGGGGCATAACCCAACACACAAACCCAAGAAAGTCAAAAAAAATTTTTGGCTGAAAGTTTGCCTATAGGGGTAATCGATGGTCCTGATCACGATTCTGACACTTATTCTTGACGTCAACGCAATCTGGCGTCAGAATGGCCCTCAATTAGTGTACATAGCGACTCCAGTGGGAGAAAGAAGTGGCTCCAAAATGGCGATAAATGGCACTAGAGCTGAAAGTAAATGCCATAGTCGTGATCAGGGCACCGAATAACATATAAAGCTCAACTTTCAGACAAGTTCTTGCTTAATGGTATGTGAAATCGAAATTGCTGAATAGCACCGACTAATGGGGTATAACTATTTAGAATGTGCCTATAAATGGTAGATATCCGAGTAAAATTCATAAACAGACATATATGGAAGCGAGAATGGCGGACGCAATTCAATAGAAATCGAGCTGTCCGATTGAGAACCCTCCATTTTATCCACTAGGCCATCCGAACGCTGTAACTGGGGTGTGTAGCAACAGAATCGTCCGGTGCAGCTGGTGGGCGTGGCCTGCGACATACTTGCGGCGAGAAGACGAAGCGTGCTTCTGGCGGTTTGAATAGGGTTATTGAAGGGAAGGTAAATATTGATATCACCCAGGATCGAGTCTTGTGTTCAGTTACGGTTAAGTTTTCAGTTAGAGTATGAAAAGTTCAATAGAGCACGAAATTCATTGGGGTCTTTTGCTCTGGTTTGTCATCTTTTACAGCAGCTCACAGAAAAACTTGGCCATCCGTCTATTATATTGACGCTGGCGACTGCGCAAATCATGTGAACCACATAAACATAGGGAGAATCACGGCCTTATCTGATTTCTTTTGTATATGACAAGATGCTGCTATCTCTGAGCTTCATCCAATATGTTCTTGAACAGTGTGCTTGAAGCTCTTGACTTGTTTAACCACTTTATTGGCAAGCTTTCGGCATATAATGCCTTCGTCAGGCCTTAAATTACAATTTCAAACATATAATAGCTACAACGAGCAATGCGTAAAACCTTACATACCAGGCCTTGAGAGGGACGGACCTATCGGCGGGGTGTCAGGGCAATAAGTGACCCGCACTATGACAATGAGACAAATGGGTGGCGGTGATTATGCGATGAGTCTCAGAAGGTCACGTAGCTCCTCTTTCGCATTGATCTCTGGCTTGAGGCGGTGTATCTCCCGAGCTTCCATTATTTTCCTCTGGAGCGGCCGTACCAAATGGCGATGCAACACACTCACATCAAAAGACGGAGCGGTCTCATTTGGGTGTCTAAGCGTACGGTGCCTTGAGAAGCTACTTCGTGGGTAAGCTGCGGGGTTGTTCAACGCTCTTCTATGCTCGTCCAGACGATTCCTCAAAGGTCGCGCGGTCTCCCCCACGTACGTTTCTCCACATCCTCTGCATTGAATGAGATAAACAGTGCCTTGAAGTTCACAAATCTTTTCGGATGAGCAGTACCGGCAAGATTCATGTGAAGAACTCCCAGCTCCCCATTCGTCTCGTTTTTCGTCCTCCCCCAACCCTGAAAACCCTCCTCACGTCCTCAAGAATTTATGAAAATCGGTGCCGCGATGAATCTTGCCGGTACTGTTCATCCGAAAAGATTTGTGAACTTCAAGGCACTGTTTATCTCATTCAATGCAGAGGATGTGGAGAAACGTACGTGGGGGAGACCGCGCGACCTTTGAGGAATCGTCTGGACGAGCATAGAAGAGCGTTGAACAACCCCGCAGCTTACCCACGAAGTAGCTTCTCAAGGCACCGTACGCTTAGACACCCAAATGAGACCGCTCCGTCTTTTGATGTGAGTGTGTTGCATCGCCATTTGGTACGGCCGCTCCAGAGGAAAATAATGGAAGCTCGGGAGATACACCGCCTCAAGCCAGAGATCAATGCGAAAGAGGAGCTACGTGACCTTCTGAGACTCATCGCATAATCACCGCCACCCATTTGTCTCATTGTCATAGTGCGGGTCACTTATTGCCCTGACACCCCGCCGATAGGTCCGTCCCTCTCAAGGCCTGGTATGTGAGGTTTTACGCATTGCTCGTTGTAGCTATTATATGTTTGAAATTGTAATTTAAGGCCTGACGAAGGCATTATATGCCGAAAGCTTGCCAATAAAGTGGTTAAACAAGTCAAGAGCTTCAAGCACACTGTTCAAGAACATATTTTGTATCTGTTATTTCCTGAAGTCCTGGAGTGAAACCGCCAAACTAATTGTGCGTTATTATCAAGAAAAACATCATTAATTTTCAATCATTGATGAAACCTGCTAAATGTTGCGGATGTACGCTGTAGTAAATCATTTGCTCCAGTCGCAAAGCTATCGGCTAGCAAATGCACGTGAGCTGCTGAGTCATTCGCCGCGCGACGCGCCGCGTGCCGCGGGCGCTGCCCGGACGATTCTGTTGCGCGTCTCCCTTGTAGGTGAACACCGCTCCGATCGTTGAAGAAACTATTCCGGCGAGCCGATCACTTCTAATCACGTGCCTCAAGTAAGACCCCATTTGCGACTATTTTCCTCCTCGATTCCTATAGTGCCTTTATAAGGACCCTCCACTCAGCAACTGGTCAAAGTTGCAAGTGATTTAGAGCCCACTGAGGCTCAAAAACAGTCGGTTTCCATGGACTTTTTCACTCCTTTTTGGTATTCCCAGAGGCGTTCAGGAAAAAATGAACATCAGTTTGGTACTCCATGCTCGTGACCCCACATCATGCAAAAAACCGTTTTCAAAAAGCGCTCCACGTCCTGAACGACCTCCCTGGTCAGCCTCTCCACCAATGACATTTTCGACAACTGCTCTCCCAGCCATCCGTGCCTACTGCCTTTGTGCCAGTATTTTCGTTACCGACACTTATCGTTTGGGGAAAGTAGTATAAGCAGATCATCAGTTGTCCTGCGTGAGTCCCAAGTCACAGAACATGAGGAGCAGGGTAGACCGTAGCGTTGTGAAAGAATTTTGTAAATTAAGACCTCCATCATTTTCGCCCCTTCGTTACTACTTGCTTTCGCAATCTACTTTTCTTCCCACAGTCTGGATGAAACACGCTCCTCCATTTTCCAAATACAACGCCTGTCGTGAATTTTACAACGACGATCTTTTCTGATGAGGATGCTGGTGTTCCCTGTCACCCCCCGCCCTACATCGTTTTCGTCACGGGTGGACTCAATGTAAAATTTAGCGCTGTTGAAGCTTCGAATCCACGGGGACACTATCTATGTCCCAAACGTCATCATGCAAAAACCAGCGAAAGTACCTCAACATTCTGGCTCCAACCATTCGTATATTCGAAAGATTCCTTTTTATCAGTAGGCTAGACTTCGCATTCAAGCTTGTTTACCAGCGTGATTAGAACAGTCACGAAAAAGCGGAGGTGTAGAAAGTAGAAAGGCAGACAGGAAGCGTTATGAGCGTAACGGGCCGGTCCAGAAAGAAGGGAGATTGAATGAGGGGGAAAAAGGATCTGATGGTCGGTCAAATCAAAAATAAAGAGAAAAAAGCCCCCAAAAATGATGGTGGATGCAAACGAACGATACTGGAGAAAAAGCGAATACGAAGGGAGAAACGATTATTCTAGTATGGCAAGCAAGGACTACATGAAGTCACAGGTTAAAAACAACCAGCATAGCTAGCAAAGCGACAGACGAACATCTTTTTGGCAGTGTTCAGACTTCGCAATGACACGCGTCGACACTGCACTGCATGGACGCAATGCTTCTACTGATGCTAATAAATCCGCGGAGAGGCAGGCAATTCATCGGCGCTGGCCGCTTGCGTTTTGATGGAATGCAGGATAGATTGCGTTTTGAGGGATCACAGGATAATGGGAGAGTAGGCGTTGCCTTTCACGCAGCCCGTTCCTATTCCTCTGCACTCTCCAAGGCACTAGTGGCCAGTGCCGATCGATACCAGACCGCAAAATCTGCCATTTCCCCATACTCTCTCGAAACATAAGCAATCAGCAACCGAGCGATGTCTGCGGCCGCATTCGCGTCTATAACACCAGTGCGCTGCTGCAATCGTGGCGTGTCCCCGTGCGTCATCGCGAAGTGTGAGCGCCGCCTTCTAGCAGAACAGTCTGGACCTATTCAAGAAGCACCAAAACGCAGCATAAAGGTGGTAGAGCTTCCAGCATTGTTTGACGATCGACTTTCAGAGAAAACCTTTGCGAAAAGCATTTATAAAAATGTAATTTTACCGAAAGCTGCGTGAACACCTCCCTGCACTATCGGGGAGTTGACTTTTCCCAAAGTGAGCAAAGAACTTAAAAATAGGAAGCAATCCAACAACACTTCAACATACCAGTTGAATCCCCATGGCTGGATAAAGCATTTTGAAACCTTCAATCGGTGGTCGCGAGCAGCCAGTGATGAACCTGAATAAAATGATGAACAAACGTTTTCCATCTGAAAACTGTTCACGATACTTTACTGAGCCTGATCCTACAAGACTTGCAAGCTATCCTCTGTTTTATCGGTGTTTGTTTCTCCGCTGCTAATCTGGTCAGCTGCCACCACAGGGGAGGAGGTCGTATCGAGACCCTTTTTAGGGGGGGGGGTCGTATCTTAGCTGAAATTTATCACAACGCGATGGTGTGCCCTGGAAGGGACATCATAACAGCTGAAAAGTAGTGCAAAGAACAAGAAGGGGTCGATTCTACTTCATTAGAACGCTCGCCTCCATGCCGCAACTACCTAAGCCAAAGAAATAAAACGAGCTAGGTCACAAACTTTCCTGTATCCACCACATTCACCAGACCTAGCTCCCATATATTATCATCTTTTCAAACATCTCGTCAGCTTCTTCTGGAAGAAATGCTTCGTAGGCCAACACGATGGTGCTGTAGCAATTCTCACATCCAGCAATTTCATCTCTCCTAGACCTCCGGACTTCTATGCTAGCGAGATGATCAAACTCGTTTCCCTTTAGCGGAAATGCGTCCAGTAAGACTGTTATTTTGATTGATACAGTATTATTGAAGCCGCAAAAACTGCACTTGAAATCTGAAGTCGCAAACCGTAAGAACTTTATTCGGCACATGATGCTTCGCTCGAACTGAGCGGAGCGCCTAAGCGCTTGCTGTGTGCATCATAGTACATGATCTTCACAGGATGTGACATTTTGAGGGAGACTTGGTTCAGTGAATGAATGCCAGAATACAAGAAATAATCTCGCTTTTAGCTAGTATTCGCGATGAGAGGTAAACATTCTCAAAGATTTAAGCGGCCTAGTGAGCAGGAACGAAAATTTTCGATCCTCCTCCATCTTCTATCATGACGAAAGTGCACTCTTCTGCGGACATTTCAAGCATGCAGTGGAACCGTTTAGGCCAGAATACGGCAAACTCGCTAGCAATTCCACAGTTTCGTCATACTCGAACTACATGCTAACAGCGGATAGTTTCACTTCAACAAGAGTTTCTGCTACCTGTTCGCTCCCAAATCTTCACTTACTTGAGCAAACCACGCTTATCTTCCGCTGACATCTCGCCAACGACACTCCAGAATAAATCCATGTAGTGGCAGAATCGGCTTTCGTCTGAAGTTAGAATAACGTAACTGAGCTGCAGCACCTCCCTGTCAATAAACAATTACAAGTAAGCTTGCCTCGAATGTTGTGTACAGCACAGTGCTTCATCATATCGTCAACGTCCAAGTCAGCGTCGGCACCACTGACCAAGGTCTGCAGCTCCGATGGCGAGAACATTGCTAACCAGCCAGGATCAATCACAGTCGATAAGCCGGCTCGCATCGCATCCACCAGCGGTTCAATCTGATCAATTGGGATTTTTCAAGAAATGCTCAAGAATACCATAGAACAAATGCAGTCGCCATGCTCAATGATGTGGAAGCCTGAACAGAGACTGGGTGACGTGGTGGCAATGGTCACTAACCCGTTTGAAGAGGAAGAAGTTTACATAGGCTCGTATGTATTCCAGGCGATTGTCGACTGTCACACGAATATTTCGGCCACCAGATACGAGGTCTACGCTCTGAAGTCATGGTAATCTCAATTCACATTAGATGATGGTCACGATATTACTGAGAATGAAAAGTTTACAAATTCACCTGCACGTCACCAACATCGTCTACGATTACACTGAAGTCGAGTTCTAAAGCTGCAAGTTCATCAGCTGTTAAGCTGCGGAGATTCTTCAGATGTCTGAATGGTACAAGTTCATAAATTACTGATTACCTATCCAATAAAGGGTGAATTGGCGAGTTCTTGCTCGTGTCCATATAGCGAATTTATGAATATTACTTGCTGCCGCCCGACATTTGTTGCTTAGCCCAAATACCAGAAAAAGAACAGAACAAAATAAGGCAGAGAGGTCAGCCGCGTGACGAGAGGGACTGTTGTGTGGGCAGAACGAGGGCTCATAAAATCGAACTCGCTCGGACAGAACAGCAAGCATTTTTACTTCAAGGCTGATCACTGAGCAGGAGATCATATGCTTCGTTTCCTCTTTCTAAAATTCATGACTTGCTTAGACTTACTTGTATATAGCCGGATCATACGATTTCAGATGATGCAGGTCAAGATCTGCACGACGCTTGCCTAGGAGCTGTGACACGAAGAACTCGGCGAAGCGGATCTCAGCCATTTGCTTCTCGTAAATTAACTACAAATGTTGATAAAATACATCGAAAAAAAAACTGACTTGAAACTAAAAACTTCATATTATCGCGAATTATTGAGTGAAGTGTCACAGACCACGCACACTCTACTTTTCGAAAAATCGAGAGGAGTCGGCCGCGTACCTTGTATGAACATGGCGTAGGATACGTTTCTCGGGGATATTCTGTTTTCAAACAATTGCCCCTCAAACTCATTGAATGGTGTTTCTTCAACAACATTTAATGAGTACTCGATATGAAATTTTCGTTGGTAATGGTACAATTGATCCAAATGTACAAGACACCGATGTCAAAGAATATCCTCCTGCATTCTCGAATGCGCATCCACTTTACATGAAGGCTAACGTGATAAGAAACCTTATCGCTACGAAGGTACGGACATGCACAAGAGAGTGGATCGGAGAATAGCGAAGATCTTGGAAGAGAACGGGTACACGACGATCGAACCAAGAACATGGCGACCTTTCTTTGCTACTGGAGGAGTACCATTGGTTTTACCATATGTTAACGAAAGAGTAGCAAAGAAAGTCAATCCACCATCAAGTCGTCGCACCTTCCAGTCAAGCTAATATTCCGGCCACCCGAAAATCTGAGAAGCTTGCTAACATCATCCCGTATCTATGAAGAGAAATGTGGCCGAAGTAACTGTTCCTACTGTACAGAGAATAAAATCTGCCAGCTACGCGGGACAGTCTACTTGGTCACATGCGAAGGATGCAGTCGAAGATATGTTGGTGAAACAATGCGACCCTTATATATAAGGATGGACGAACACGTGCGGGCCCTCGTCTTACCCCAGGAGTGGATTCTCGCGATCGACATCGCACGATCTTTCACCAGCGAAAAAACCCCAGGAGTGGATTCTCGCGATCGACATCGCACGATCTTTCACCAGCGAAAAACCCCTCCCCGCCTGAAAGTCACGGTTTACACCGCTCGGAGAGCCCATTGGAAAGGAAATTGCTCGAGGCGATCGCTATCAAGCGGTTATCCCCCGAAATAAACAACAGGGACGAGCTGATGGAGGCAATGAGGCTGATTGCATAGCGGTCGCGATAAAGAAGTCCTGCAATTGTCACGCATGTCGCATTCTTAGGGACTTTTAGTTGCATTGGAGGTCGGTCAGGGGTAGGTCGTTAGTATATGATGGTTTGGTCATGTAGGCTTTTACTATGTTGTATTACAGACCTTAGCGACTTTATTGTTAAGAGGGAGCCCAGTCTGGTTAGTACTTTGATCAGCTTGATTGTTGTAAGGAATTGAAGTACTATGTATGCTTGTTTTATTTGAGGTCTGAAGAAGCTGTTACCACAGCGAAAGCTTACCAATGAAAATTTCATATCGAGTACTCATTGAATATTGTTGAAGAAGACATTATAACGCATGAGGCTCAGGAATAGCTCAATTCTATCCTAACTGCCATTCTGTTCTGTGCTCAGGTCAGGTCCTGGAGTTGGGGAGGATTTCTGCTAGTTGACCCTCAGTGAAGTTCCTCCCGCTGGGAGATCTTTTCTATATCCGACCGCTCATCCTTACCGAGTTTCCTCCATGAATTTGCCGTCGAGCGAGCGGGAGGGAGGAGGCACCAGTCACGACCCCAAAGGCACAAAATCACAAGTTAATATACAATAGTCCCAAAACGAAAATATTGCGCGAGATGAGCAGCGGCCACCACGCTGAAATAAAATACACAGTCACCCTTCGGCCAGCGCAGGATATGAAATCGACTGCGACTTCCCACTGAAACTGCGAATTTCCACCCACCACGTACAGGTTGATATCGTCTCAATCCAGCGGGGCGGTGTCGGAAGGCTTGCAATGCCCGCCAGCACTTTCTTCGAGGCCACGTGTAGCCGTGGCAGAGACCGCCGTGAGTGGGCTCTTCTACGCCTCCTGACATAGCTTCGCCAGACGAGGTCAGCTCTACTCGTTCATTTTTCTTGGAAAAAATTGAATTGTTGAGAGGCTACCTTTGCAACAATTCGTCCTAGAAAAAAGAAATGCTGCGAATAGGAATCAGGATACAGCTGCATGGAAGAAGGGTTCGGATACAACAGCCTAAATAACTTCAATCATAAATCTAAGGGAACCTTCTAGTATTCGACAGGCAGAAAAAATCTATTACGCAACCTGTCATAAGTATACTTGAAGAAGCCTCTGTCAGGATCAAATCCAGTTCGAATCAATTCGGTCAGGAACTCTCTGAAAATGTGGCTATTGCTATTCATCCATCTCCTTACGACCTGTACAAAATTCAGCCCAGTACGACATCTGACACAGCAAGTCCACTTGCTATCACCGGCAGACTATTATTCCTGTTTTTAGTGATTACGGAAACGCGAGCATCGTAATCCCGTCAGCACCTGCTCTCAAGCAGACGTACAATAACAGATACGCTAACAAGTGTGTCCTCTTTGTGTCCTTTAGTCAAGATGGTGAAGTACTATCTCCCCAAATTCTCTCACCGTGGCCGTTCAGGAAAAAAGGTTAATCCACTCACGAACAACTGGTTCGCCCAAATTCACCTGCACGTCACCAACATCGTCTACGATTACACTGAAGTCGAGTTCTAAAGCTGCAAGTTCATCAGCTGTTAAGCTGCGGAGATTCTTCAGATGTCTGAATGGTACAAGTTCATAAATTACTGATTACCTATTCCAATAAAGGGTGAATTGGCGAGTTCTTGCTCGTGTCCATATAGCGAATTTTTGAATATTACTTGCCGCCGTCCCGACATTCGTTGCTTAGCCCAAATACCAGCAAGAGAACAGAACAAAATAAGCAGAGAGGTCAGCCGCGTGACGAGAGGGACTGTAGTGTGGGCAGAACGAGGGCTCATAAAATCGAACTCGCTCGGACAGAACAGCAAGCATTTTTACTTCAAGGCTGATCACTGAGCAGGAGATCATATGCTTCGTTTCCTCTTTCTAAAATTCATGACTTGCTTAGACTTACTTGTATATAGCCGGATCATACGATTTCAGATGATGCAGGTCAAGATCTGCACGACGCTTGCCTAGGAGCTGTGACACGAAGAACTCGGCGAAGCGGATCTCAGCCATTTGCTTCTCGTAAATTAACTACAAATGTTGATAAAATACATCGAAAAAAAAACTGACTTGAAACTAAAAAACTTCATATTATCGCGAATTATTGAGTGAAGTGTCACAGACCACGAACACTCTACTTTTCGAAAAATCGAGAGGAGTCGGTCCGCGTACCTTGTATGAACATGTGTAGGATACGTTTCTCGGGGATATTCTGTTTTCAAACAACTGCCCCTCAAACTCATTGAATGGTGTTTCTTCAACAACATTTAATGAGTACTCGATATGAAATTTTCGTTGGTAATGGTACAATTGACCAAATGTACAAGACACCGATGTCAAAGAATATCCTCCTGCATTCTCGAATGCGCATCCACTTTACATGAAGGCTAACGTGATAAGAAACCTTATCGCTACGAAGGTACGGACATGCACAAGAGAAGAGGTGGATCGGAGAATAGCGAAGATCTTGGAAGAGAATGGGTACACGACGATCGAACCAAGAACATGGCGACCTTTCTTTGCTACTGGAGGAGTACCATTGGTTTTACCATATGTTAACGAAAGAGTAGCAAAGAAAGTCAATCACACCATCAAGTCGTCGCACCTTCCAGTCAAGCTAATATTCCGGCCACCCGAAAATCTGAGAAGCTTGCTAACATCATCCCGTATCTATGAAGAGAAATGTGGCCGAAGTAACTGTTCCTACTGTACAGAGAATAAAATCTGCCAGCTACGTGGGACAGTCTACTTGGTCACATGCGAAGGATGCAGTCGAAGATATGTTGGTGAAACAATGCGACCCTTATATATAAGGATGGACGAACACGTGCGAGCCTTGCGGAATCCCTCGTCTTACCCCAAAAGTGGATTTTCGCGGCATCGCACGATCTTTCACCAACAAGAAACCCCTCCCCGCCTAAAAGTCACGGTTTACACCGCTCGGAGAGCCCATTGGAAAGGAAATTGCTCGAGGCGATCGCTATCAAGCGATTATCCCCCGAAATAAACAACAGGGACGAGCTGATGGAGGCAATGAGGCTGATTGCATAGCGGTCGCGATAAAGAAGTCCTAGCAATTGTCACGCATGTCGCATTCTTAGGGACTTTTAGTTGCACTGGAGGTCGGTCAGGGGTAGGTCGTTAGTATATGATGGTTTGGTCAACGAATGTAGGCTTTTACTATGTTGTATTACAGACCTTAGCGACTTTATTGTTAAGAGGGAGCCCAGTCTGGTTAGTACTTTGATCAGCTTGATTGTTGTAAGGAATTGAAGTACTATGTATGCTTGTTTTATTTGAGGTCTGAAGAAGCTGTTACCACAGCGAAAGCTTACCAATGAAAATTTCATATCGAGTACTCATTGAATATTGTTGAAGAAGACATTATAACGCATGAGGCTCAGGGATAGCTCAATTCTATCCTAACTGCCATTCTGTTCTGTGCTCAGGAACGTCCTGGAGTTGGGGAATTTCTGCTAGTTGACCCTCAGTGAAGTTCCTCCCGCTGGGAGATCTTTTCTATATCCGACCGCTCATCCTTACCGAGTTTCCTCCATGAATTTGCCGTCGAGCGAGCGGGAGGGAGGAGGCACCAAGTCACGACCCCAAAGGCGCAAAATCACAAGTTAATATACAATAGTCCCAAAACGAAAATATTGCGCGAGATGAGCAGCGGCCACCACGCTGAAATAAAATACACAGTCACCCTTCGGCCAGCGCAGGATATGAAATCGACTGCGACTTCCCACTGAAACTGCGGATTTCCACCCACCACGTACAGTTGATATCGTCTCAATCCAGCGGGGCGGTGTCGGAAGGCTTGCAATGAGCCCGCCAGCACTTTCTTCGAGGCCACGTGTAGCCGTGGCAGAGACCGCCGTGAGTGGGCTCTTCTACGCCTCCTGACATAGCTTCGCCAGACGAGGTCAGCTCTACTCGTTCATTTTTCTTGGAAAAAGAATTGTTGAGAGGCTACCTTTGCAACAATTCGTCCTAGAAAAAAGAAATGCTGCGAATAGGAATCAGGATACAGCTGCATGGAAGAAGGGTTCGGATACAACAGCCTAAATAACTTCAATCATAAATCTGAGGGAACCTTCTATTCGACAGGCAGAAAAAATCTATTACGCAACCTGTCATAAGTATACTTGAAGAAGCCTCTGTCAGGATCAAATCCAGTTCGAATCAATTCGGTCAGGAACTCTCTGAAAATGTGGCTATTGCTAATCATCCATCTCCTTACGACCTGTACAAAATTCAGCCCAGTACGACATCTGACACAGCAAGTCCACTTGCTATCACCGGCAGACTATTATTCCTGAGATTACGGAAACGCGAGCATCGTAATCCCGTCAGCACCTGCTCTCAAGCAGACGTACTATAATAGATACGCTAACAAGTGCGTCCTCTTTGTGTCCTTTAGTCAAGATGGTGAAGTACTATCTCCCCAAATTCTCTCACCGTGGCCGTTCAGGAAAAAAGGTTAATCCACTCACGAACAACTGGTTCGCACCAACCCTTTGCCACAGATGGCTGGATGACAAATTAGTACCACTACAAAGACTACAAACGAAGGGCTGATACTAATTTTATAAATTAATCAACAAAGAGTGAAAAACACCGGATACAACATTCGAGAAAAATTTGAAAACTCTTTCCTCACCTAAAGATTCCACCTCCATCGATGCCAGCTTCACTCAACCCAGCCCAGTTCATCATTGTCACCCTTATCGGAAGTCGAAGGTTTGGCGCTGTAACTTATAGGCATTAAGTTATGAAGTTATGAGTGTGATGTTTCTGGGAGATACAATGCGCGATTATCAAGGAGATTCCTTCTCGCGTAAGACAAGGATAGGTCTGCAGGAGTAACTACCACCGCAAAAAGGTGCACAACGATAGAGCAAGGGGGTTTGTAAACGCCTCATGTTTTCTATGTCCGTACTGCCATCAGATGGTGATGCACGCCACAGTCACCCAATACGCCGCCCGAGTATAGTCACATGTGGTCTAACCATAACCACACATCTGACTGTCACGTGTGTATCACGCATCCAATGGAAGTGGAGGGGATGGAGCATAACGAAAACTAACTTATCACAAATCTCAAGCTCTATTGGCGTACAGTTCAAGATTGCTCCACCCCATTCAAGGATTCGCGTTTCAGGTTAATGAAAAAAAATGTTCCAAGGTTGATGTCCAGTCCCAGTCCCATGTTTAAATTTGCTGCAAAACCTGCTACATTTTGATCCAACTCACCGTTCCCCAGTGACATCGCTTCGAATGCGTCCTCATACAGATGCTGTCGTCGCACTGATATATTAATAGCATTCCGACGGAAGCCTGTTGGCGCTACAATGGAAACATTTGCCTGCGAATTGGTAATAGCGTTTCATCCCCGGAGTGAGATTTTTATTTTGCGGTGGTTTTAATGAAAACTACGTGTATTTGGAATTCCATCCGTCAATGCGACCGAATTGACCCGTGATGGTTTGCTGACAGCCGAAGTTCTTTACTGCTGCCCCTTTCACATAAAAGTCTTTACTTTGGTCTCCTTCAGGTAGAGGTTTTTCTGCTTTCAGTCACCCGACCCTCGATCATAGGAAAAGCAGCCCTCTCACTATAATTTTTCAATAAATGTTCTCCTGCTTAAATAATCCTTTTCATATTCGCACAGCTTGATATGATGTCGGGTTAGCGAGTACCTGTCAAATTACTGATGACGCTCGGTTTTGATCTGCCCCCGATAGACACGCCCCTCTTTGCTGTGAAAACGATTTACATTTGCATTACTAACACAATATTCTATAAAATCTATTTACAGTATTTTTGCACAATTTCATTATTTGCGCCCATCCTGGCTTCAACGGCTCTCCTCCAAGATCGGATAATTTCACAAAATCCTAGCAGCAGCAGTTTCAACATAATAATGAAATACAATCTATCATACCAAGGATTCAGAAAAAGACGTGTCGAAAGCAAAACAGAAAATCCTGAACAGACCGAAAATCTTGACGTGCCCCAGAGATGTACTCACCAAAACTATGAAAATCGTCCACAATATCATTCGCCTCTCGATCATGGGCCAAAAGATCTTGAAAAATCTAAAATTCACTCATTTTCCTTCTGATGATTTGAAGAACAGAGGGCGTACAAATACCTTCACTCTTTGCATAAATGGCACCACAAAGGGAATTGACTTGATAATACTTATGTTTCGCAAATCAGCACTGGTCGCTGGCAGTTCACTGGAAGGTCCTGGCTCATCTTCGCTTCCACTGCTGTCATCCCTAAACAAGTCGACTCGAACTCAAATTTCAGTGAGTTTTGACCACTACAACATGAATGGCTGACGTTGCATTGTCCTGTTATCCATCCATCCACTTCAGAGCAGATATGCATTTTGCGGTCTGGGAGCACATTCTATAACCTGCGCAGTCAAATGATCCCTTCGTGAGTATGAGGAAGTGACCTACAAGGTTAAACCCTGCGCTGACTGTGTTACAGCTTTGTGAGAGAACGGCGGTGAGGGCTCACTTCAGGAATCTAGGACGACCCAATAGTTCAGTCTTCCCTTCGAGTGGGCAAGAGCGAAGGGTGCTGGTAGAATGCTTGGCTTCAGCGCTCTTTCATCCCTTCCACGCCTCGACTCTTGAAGTAGCATTTTCGCTGTGTACTAGTGCTACGCTGCACTCTTCAACTGCGAGAAAGTTTCCTTCGAACACTCCAGTAACGCTTGCTGACGGTACCTTGTCAAGCAAAACATATCAGAACCATTGTCAACAGCCCCATTTCAAGATAAGTGATAGACTGTAGAACTTCTTCTATGGAAACTCTTCGCAAGGTTGATACAGCAGTTTATTCGGCTTACTTGTTGAAACTTGAAAGAGAAATCTTGTTCGATTCTATCACTTGGCGAGAAGTGATAGAATCGAACAAGATTTCTGGTTCACATTCGCTCTAGTACATTGACTTTTCACATATTGGAGCTCTTTCTGGGATAATTCATCTGCTGTATCTGTCGCGGATTTTTCTTCAGTGTGTCTGACACAGTATTAAAAGCGTCTAGACAACTGGAAGCTCCAAGCTTGAACTCTACCCCTTCGCAGAAATCCATCACCGGCAATTTTCTGCCGAAAATATTGATCTTTCACGTTGCTAACTTACTCCATGTGTGGTCTTCCATGAAGAAATCGCACAAAACTAAACGGAGTAAATGCTCGTTGAGACCCTTCCATACTGTGTCCACGACGTCGAGGTTGAAAAAACGATCTACGCGTCACGACCACCTACAAGCTGCGGATAATTCCTACATTTATGAAAAACATTCGTATAGGTAACCTGTCTCCGATGGTTACTCCAAAACTCGGAAGGCAAAAAATGCACTCGTGCATCCTTTGCATACAACGACTGCAGGGTAGATACAACAGTTTCGTAGAGTTGTGACCACTAAAATCACAATACGTTCAATGCCATGTTTGTTATATGAAAGCAATTGCGCTTTTACAGCAGCCGCATACAAAGAGCCTGCGACCGGTCTTTCTCACAGAATCGGTAGCTGTCTGTGTAGCCTGCGCTCTCAGTGTGCAGCCTTGGCGAACTCGGCGCATCTGCAAAAAGTTCCTAAGGCATAAGGCTAAGGATAGTTTATTACTCGGTCTGAAAGGTAGCAGGGGTGTTACATAGTGGGGAAAATGGCGAAAAAGCGAGCAGTGAGACGGTCAAAAGTTGCCAAAAAGTCTTTGTTCTACGCGACTCAGAAAGCAAAGGACGGACGAGTTTCCCGTTGGCATCGTGCTTATCACCGCTACGATAGATTGGCTGCCTGTATGTACACATATATCCGTGCAGCATCGCACCCTCTTCAGATCAACCCCTTCATACTCCGCAAATGAAGCGCTACGAGCATCAGCAGTCGGACATTTGTGGGCGAGCGGGCTGGGCGTCCGTGTTGGCATGTTGCAGGTTGATAGGGCTCTATAAACGTATCTTGCTTGAGAAAGGCGCCACGCAGTGCCTGCGCCGTCGAATTCTGTTCTGTTTGCCTTATTCATCCTACACATGGGATTTATCGTGCCACTTGCCTACAAAACCCATCGATAGGAAGAGTGGCACAGCGCGGACGTAGTGAGCGAGATCGCGAAAGGGATTTCGAACCTTCATGCAGAAGCGATTCTTTCGCCCATTCGACGCGGCCGCAAACTGTGAACAATGCCTTTATGACTGCTATACAACTTTCTTACAGGAGTCAAGAGACAGACATCGTCAAGATAGCCGTGATGAAAACAGGCCATCGTGCATGAAGATGACCATCGTTCTTGGCACCGCAATCACTCAAGTTCTCGAACACCCCGACCAGAATGATGAACACAACACCAGTCTTCTTACCTTGGCTGCATCCCGCGTTTTTTCTTCTGCTGCTTTTGCAGTAGCAAAGAAGTCTTCGGGAAAAGCTAAATCGATCAATCCCAAACCAACATCCCTGAACAATAACCATAAACCGTGCAAAGAGAAGATAAAGAACGAGCGAAGAAGAGTAGAGCCGAAAGCTTTCGCAATAATAGCTCACCTTATTACTGTAATGATCTCCGTCATTTTACTGTTGCTGAATACCAAATTCGGATGACCAGAAACAAAATCGGCGTCATCAACGGAAGCGATTCCAGCAACAAGGCATCCACAGAACAAAGAAAGTGCTTGAGTCAAATGGTCACGGGCAGCGTCCTCCAGGGGATGGCCTATGATTTCAGACGCAAATATTAAGACTCCTTTTTTTCACATTGTAGCTTACCCATTTTAAGCAAATCAATATGGTTGACAAGCCGCCCGGAGAGGCATCGCGATTGCATGCCTACTAGTAACATCCACAATCTGAAACAGACCACAAAATTAGCTACCTTACAGCAAAGGTCAACTCAAATTAACTGGAGCAACCTATCACAGCTTTCTTGACTCAATTTTCCCCAACCCCGTGAAATGAAACAGCGGCACTCAAAGGCAGTGGGCACGATTGCTGGAAGCGGTCCTGGTGTCAGGGTTACTGGTGGAGGGGTTGTGGGCGGCGCTTGGCCACACCCCACACATCCTTTCACCAATGGCGACAACCGCCCACTGCCAGATCGTGCCTACCACCTCCAAGTGATATGCATGTGGGAATGGCAGGTATTTACGTGATCCTCAGATGCGCAGGAATTAGCAGAATTGTAGCAGCTATTGACTTCAACAGAACGATTCGCTGACAAATCGTTGTCGACGATGGCGCTTAATGATTAGGAACGAAACAAAGCCAATATCCATAGCCAATCGTCCGTGGTAGTTTTTTTTGTCTTTTTATTTTTCTGATACCATACCGTAAAACTTCCAAAATCCATTTCCGTTGAATCTATTAGGTTCTGGTGCCATGGCCGGGCACATGACACCAAGGCGACGCTGCAATGTACATCTTCTAAACTGCAACTGCGAACTTTACATGCTATCCGGCTCACTGCGGATGAAGGGGCGCAATGGCAGGTGCGATAGGTTTGGCTCGGCGCTATACCCGTTTTCCACCAGTCGTAGAAGCGAGAAAGCAACAAAAACTGTATCACGTCGTTCGTATCGGTCATTTTGCGCTAATTACTGATGCTTACCCGCCCCAGCAGTGGTGGAAAATGGTTAGACAGCAGAGTTGGTGGTAAGGATGCTGTTGGAATGATCAGCTATCCGAGGCGCTGAAATCACTATTCAACTTAAATAGGTTAAATTTCACAAGGGCTGCTAGTTGTAGTGAAGGAAAACTTGTTTTCCATGTATAATAGAGTTTCAGTCGAATGCTTGTCCATTCATTAGGACCATCATAGTTCTGGGTTTTGCTTTTTCCTTTGTTAACCGCATAAGGATTTTTGCAGATTTTATCAAAGTTATTTTCTTAATAGAACTGTAGGGTAGGAGTCAAACCAAATTGAAAATCAGTAGAATTCAATTCTTCGACACCTGCGGGTTTTTCAAAGCCGCAATGACGCGCTGAAAGATGTGTAATCGGGACACGCCGGCGCCCAGGCATAGACCATATGATTAAAGTAAAAAATACAAACCGATTCATGCATGATGGGGATGTCGCCAATAACATTACCACATCCGAATTTAATATCTTCTTTTCAAAAGCTACCAACGACCATATATTCTCATCCGCCGGAAATTTCACTGCAACTGTATCTCAGAAACGGGCTTATAGTTATATATAAGTTGAAGGAGAATGTTGTCGTAAATACGTAATGATTATGACACAATCAATCCCACCTGCGTGTTTACACAGCTCTGAGAAAATTGGCGATTCGAACGCAGCTTCGATAAATGACAGCATAAACACCTCCACCTAGAAGGAGAAAGAATAAAGTGCACAGACCTGCTCGATACTATTTTGCAACTTTGTGTGCATATTTTGGCTTT